CCCTCTTATTCTCTTTCCCCAGCTTTGCTCTTTGTTTTTTCTTACATTGAATATGTACAACTATTATAACAGAAAATGTACAATATACTTTTAAAATAAATAAAAAAATTCTCTTTCTGGATACCTTTTAGTACAGAGTTCAAATAACAAATACAAGAATATATGAGCAAATGAATAAACAGAGCAATAAATATAGCTAACTTTCCCGGCACACCTAAAATGTAATAAAAGCCTAAGCGACCATTAAAGTGGAATGACCAGAACGACCGGTTGCTATGATGCACACTGACCACCAGGGGGCAGATACTTAATGCAGGAGCTGCCTCCTGGTGGCCAATGCACTTCCACAGGGGAAGCACCGCTCAGCCAGAAGCTGGGTTTGGCTGGCAAGCGCAGCGATAGGTGATAGGAGCCTCTCCCACCTCCCAGGTAGCGCTAAGGAGCAGCAAGCCAATCAGTATGGAGCAGCGAGCAGGCGGGCAGTAAGGAGCAAGGGGTCCCAGACTGCGAGGACTGTGAGGAGAAAGGAAATTAATACCTGGGTGCATTAGAGGGCAACAACAACAACAAAAAAAAGGAAAAGAAAAGAAACAAAGGCAGAGAACATCTTAAAAGTAGTCAGAAGAAAACCAGTAGGCGAACATCCCCCGAGGGGTCCTGGACTGCGAGAGGGTCAGTAGGCGAACATCCCCTGAGGGGTCCTGGACTGCGAGAGGGCCCAGGCTGGGCTGAGGGACCACCCCTCCAGTGCATGAATTTCATGCACCAGGCCTCTAGTATAATTATATTATTTTTGTTAGCAATATGTCCTGATAGGTATAGGTCTATTGCCAAAATTTGAGTTTTAATTGATTAAAAAACAAACAAACTTAAAAGGTAACATTTAAATCAATAATGATAAACAAAGCAGTCTACATTTCTATTAGTTTGGTCACCTTATTTTTATATTTCTGTTTTCTCAAATATTTACTGTGCAAACTGCAAGCAATAACTGAATTTTCTAAGGGACACCTTTTTAAAGCACCTGAAAAATTGTAAATTTTTCTCTCATTCTAAACCTTAATGAGAACAGGTTCTGATGATTACTACAAAATGGCGAGGGAGGAAAGAAGAATAGATGGAGGGGGTGAAGGGAGGAAAAATTCTAAACCATTTCAGTGAAGTAAAGATCAATTTCATTTTCATATAATTTTTAATGGTTGTTCAAACCCCTATAATGCACCCACACAAAAGGCTTCAGTTAATGTGTGTGTATTTTGAGCAGTTCCTTCTTCCACCCTCCAGTTTAATTTCCGTCCTTCAAATGAGATGAATGGAGCGTGAAGCAGGTCATATCTCAATGCTGACACATGGGCTGCAGATAGAACTCACAGGCTGGAGAAGCAGCCAGTTTGGAGATTAAATCAAAGCAGCTCTGAATAGATGGGAGGTCAGCCAAGGCCAGCTTTGACATTTGATAGGACCTTGTGATCAACCAGGCCTTTCTTCCCTCTTCCCAGCTTCCTTATAACAGTGGCCCTAAAAAACAGATGGGATATGTTACCAAGTGCCCGAGAAGTACTAGATTGTGAAAGGAGATAGGTGTCCATATTATCAAAGGGACAACTGTTATTTGAAGCAGCCAGCAAATCAGAAGGCCCTGCTTTGCTGCAATGGCTGCGTTCAAGTTTGCTTTTCATGATGTGAAATGAAACCCAAGCCTTGAGAAGGGGGAGCTAATTATTAAACTGCTTTTTAAAAACTTCTTAACTCCATTGCATTAAACTGTAAACTCTGAATATTCCTGATATCCTAGGATTAAATTTTAGCCAGTCTTTACTCTAAGAATAATCTGTGTTTCCAGCAAGGCCAAGCTTAGTTTTTGCTCTACTTGTTTGTTCCTTTACTTATCTTTGGGAAATACACACAATAAACACACACACACACACACACACACACACACACACACACACAGAGAGGGAGAGAGACACATAAAATGAAGACATGCTAACCTTTGGGAGAAAGGAATCAAAGGGTATTTATGCAGAGAGCTCACTGGGCAGGGGCCTGAGCATGATGTCAGGAAATCCCAGTCACGTCGCCAAGAGGGTCATGAAAAATGAATGGCCCCAGAGCACCGCTGTGACAGACTGTTTTAGTGAGTGGTAATGGGCCATCTCCAGGATGAAAGGCCGCATATTTATAACTGTGCAGGCTACTGGGCATCACACCATTCATTATGCCTGCTTGATTTAAGGGAGATGCCTTTTACCGGGGTGACATGGGAGCAAATTATTTCCAGGAATATCACAGCTCTCATCCCCCCTCCACCTACCTCTCCATCTTGCCCATCCGCATTCCAGACATATACACAGGCTCTCACATTCACACAAGCACATTCTCTGACTTTTTTCTGCCATAGAGCATTTTGCAGCCAGTGTTACCCTCTCCGAAATGTCTCACCCCAATTTACATGGAAATGGAAAAGCTGGCCTGTGGGAGCCTGGCTTAAGGAGGGCTGAGATAAGGAGGAGTAGCACGAACTTGCTGCACTACCTCTCCTCCATAAACTGTTTTAATCGGAGCCAGAAAGCTGAGGTCAATTGGTTAATTTGCCAAATGAGTTTCTGAAGTTGGCTTTTTGCTTGACATAGACTCCATCTTCACAGAGAAGTAAGCATTTGAGTTCCACTTTGTCCCTTGTTGCAGTTAGATGTGTAAAATTACTCAACTTCCCTGGATTATTTCTAATGAGAAACTAACCGATTGCACAAAATTCTAAGGAAATTGTCAACATTAATACTTTATAATGTCCTGAAATTTCAATAAGATGGAAACATAATACAACAAATTATTTCAACCAACAGATCAGATATTCTGGTAAAAATAATTAATCTCAAGAATCTTGCTGATGTAACTAACGCACTTTAAATGTACAAAATCCCATTTAAAAAGAGAGTATGGCCTGGCCAGCATGGCTCAGTGGTTGAGCATTCAACCTATGAAACAGGAGGTCACGGTTCAATTCCTGATCAGGGCACATGTCAAGGTTGCAGGCTAGATCCCCAGTAGGGAGCACACAGGAGGCAGCTGATCAATAATTCTCTCTCATAATTGATGTTTCTATCTCTCTCTCTCACTCTCCCTTCCTTCCTGAAATCAATAATATATATTAAAATGTTGGTAGAATGACAATGCTTCCTGTGCAAGGAAAATGCATTTCCCAGGGCAAATTGCTGGGACTTAAGATACCCAGGCTGATGGCCATGCAATATATATATATATATATTTTAAAAAAGAGAGTATAAAAATCTATCAGAAGAGTTATCATATAAGTTGTTCATAACATACGATTTAGGTCTCAAAGTGTTTTTTTTTAATGTTATGTTTCACACAAGTATATTAAGAAAAAGTTCATATAACATACTTGAATTTTAACTAAGTTAATTCAGCTGCCATCTTAATATAGCTGCAATACATCAGTGGTTAAAATAAAGTTTCTACAATGGTATCTTCATGGTCTGTGCCAACAGGCATTTTTTCAGTGGACAGTGTAGTTATGTTGATAATACTTCCCGGAGAGGATCGTAACACAACTGAGAGATGTTTGGATTATAAAGTGCATGGGTCCGTTTGTGTATATTTAATATATGCAAATTTGTGCCCCAATTCTGGCCCCCAAGAGCTCAGTTGTCTCTGAGAATTTAGATATTATTTACAAAGAGCATTTTTTTTCTGGTTAATTTTATCATTGAAATTTGACACAAATCTTCCAAAATGATAATTCTCTCTAGCAAGCTAATCCTTCAAGAGCCTTTTATGTCTCAGAGAAAGCTGTGTGTAATCAAATGTCTACAAAATTCACATTGGTTTGAGTCACACTCTATGATTCCATTTAACTATGGCCAACTTCAGAGACAGCCACGGTTTTCCTGTATTTTGTATCAGATAAAGAATTCAGAAAGAA